GAGAGAGAGAGAGAGAGAGAGAGAGAGAGAGAGAGAGAGAGAGAGAGAGAGAGAGAGAGAGAGAGAGACAGAGAGACAGAGAGAGACAGAGAGAGAGACAGAATGAATGAATGAATGAATGAATGAATCCAGGAGCAGATTGCGAAATGACTGATTCAGATCTTCGCTATCCTTCCTTCAGACCGTCTTAAGAGCTAAATTTATAGCCTACTGTACATTCATCAAATGCCTTCATGTCAAGGGATGTCCTCTTCACAGGAGAGAAACCGTATATATGGGAAGTCCATGACTTACAACAGTTCATTTTGTTCAAAGTTACAGTGGCACTGAAAAAAAGTGATTTCTGTTTTTCACACTTACGACCATTGCAAGCATCCCCATAGACACATGATCAAAGTTCTGACTCATATTTAGGACGCTTGCAATATCCCGAGGTCATGTGATCAACTTTTTGCGATCTTCTGACAAGCGAAGTCAACGGGAAACCCAGATTCACTTAGCAATTGTGTTACTAGCTTAACAACTGCAGTGATTCACTTAACAACAGTGGCAAGAGAAATCACAAAATGGGGGGAAAGGTTACTTAACAACTGTCTCACTTAACAACAGAAATTGGGGCTCGGTTGTGGTCGTAAGTCGAGGAATACCTGTACTCGCAGATGAACCAAGAATCTAACGTGCCAAAATATATCCCTCAAATTGGATTCGGCTTATCTGTGGCTGAGCTTATCCACAAGTAGATAAGGTAATAGTTCCCCTGTACACCTAATCTTTGATTTAACAGCCATTTGTTTAGCAAGTGTTACAACGGCACTGAAAAAGTGACTTTCGACCTGTCCCCAAAGTACCACTGCAGTATCCCTACGGTCAAAATGCTTGGCAACTGGGATGTAATTACAACGGTTGCAGCATCCTGATGGCCATTGACAACCTTCCCAGTTGGCTTCCAACAAGCCAAGTCAATGGAGGAAGCCGGATTCGCTGAATGACTGCACAATTCACTTAGCGACTGCAATGAGTCACTTATGAACTGTGGCAAAAAAGATCATAAAATTGGGTTGAGACTTAATAACCGCCTTTTGCTCAGTAAACAGAAATTCTGGTTCCAGTTGTGATTGTAAATCAAGAGCTACTTATATATCTACTGTATAGAACTGTGCGCATTTCTATCTGTAGATAAACAGACCCTCCAATTCTGAACCAAAATACCATGAAAATTGCAGGTGTTGTGAGTGGCACATTTTTCTTGGTTTTTTGGTTCACAATTGGAGGGTCTGGTTATCCATGGGTGGGCTTATCTGTAAGTCTATACAGATTATAATTTACAGAGCAAAAACTGGCCAGAAAGTAAATCTGAATCTAATATCAATCTCTTGAGTTATCTGTAATATACAGGTAGTCCTTGACTTACGACCACAATTTAGCCCAGATTTTTTGTTGCTAAGTGAGAAATTTGTTAAGCGAGTTTTGCCCCATTTTATGACCTTGATTGCCACAGTTGTTAGCTGAATCTGCAGCTGTTAGGTTAGTAACACGTTATTAAGTGAATCCGACTTCCCCATTGACTTTGCTTGTCAGAAGGTCAGAAAAGGTGATCACATGACCCCGGGACACTGCAACCGTTGTAAATATGAGTTGTAAATATGAGTATGTGACTATGGGGGCGCTGTAAGGGTCGTGTGAAAAATGATGATAAATCTCTTTTTTTTTCAATCCGATTGTAACTTTGAATGGTCATTAAGTGAACTTTTGTAAGTTGAGGACTTCCTATATAAGCAAAGACTGCTTATCAATCATAAAAGGGTATTGTAGCCTCAGCCCATAAATCAGAGGAAGGGCAATAGAGGACTGAGATGCCCACAAATTCTTTCTTGATATTGCCGGGCTCCCTGCTCCATCTGATTTCATTTTTATTTTACATTCATTTCATCCTGACATCTGCAGAGTGAACGTAGACAAAGGTGGGATTCAGCCAGTTCGCACCGGTTCAGTAGAACCAGGTGTTAATTTTAACTGGCTGGCCCCGCCCACTCCTCCCCTCCCAGGAGTCTCCACACGGCCCTTTCATCATGCCAGGTGAGTGTAGGGCCTTCACGGAGGCTCTGGGAGGGCGAAAAATGGGCCTCCCAGAAGTCCGAAAACAGGCCTGTTTCTGGTCTCCGGAGGGCCTCCATTTTTGGCCTCCTGGAGGCTCGAAGAAAATCTCCGGAGCCTGGGGAGGATGAAAATGACCCCCCCCCGGTGTAGGAGGCCAAGTAGGCCATGCCCACCATGGCCACGTCTACCCAGAAACTGGGCAGAGAATCGGTTGCCAACATTTTTCAACCCCACCCCTGAACACTATATGGAGGCTCACACCACATATATATTTCTCTTGTCAAGAACAAAAAACAAATCATCACGCTTGAAATCGAGAGTCTGGCTTTATGCAAATCCATGTAGCCCATCAGCCTGCTTTATTGTCTAATAAACACTGGTTTGCCCAAATAAGCCATCATCTCCTGTGTGAAGAGAGGAGTATTAATAATTTGTGTCAGGTTACTTTAGACCTGAAATTATTGTTTCAAATGACATATACATGAGGCATATTTCTCTACTGTTTAATTTTCTTCATCTTTTATTTTTTGGTTGATCAAAATATACATTAAAAAGATGAGTTAAAATATATTATTAGATTATAAAAACACACTTATTATCATCAAGTTAGTCTCTGCCTGATTTATTCTGCTACTCAATGAGCCAAAAGTTTATCCCACTTCTGAAATTTGCTAAGGTCTACAGATTGCTCAGCCTGGTACTGCTCCATTTTTAAATAGTAATTTGATTAAACATTACAATTAAAAAGATTAAAGGAAGTAATACAAACTAAAGAAAAGATCAGAATAAAAAGAAAAGGGCTCCATTGTCAAAGGAACAACTGTTTTTTCTCCCCATAGGAAGAACAATTGCTGCTACAGCCATTTGCAGGACTTGTCCTAATCAGCATGAAGGCGGCTGCTTAAACAAGCAGCCATACAGTCTCATTTCTGCCTTTTTTTTATTGTGTAGGCATGAAGTGTGCAATCCAGTTTCCAATTTCATAGATCAAAAAGTGGGCAAGGAGGCGATTTAGAATGATATCATATACATCATAGTAAATGGCAATAGCACTTAGACTTATGAACCGCTCCACAGTGCTTGACAGCACTTTCTAAGCGGTTTACAAAGTCAGCATCTTGCCCCCAACAATCTGGGTCCTCGTTTTACCAACCTCAGAAAGCTGAATTGAGCCAGTCCTGATCGAACTCCTGGCTGTAGGCAGAGTTAGCCTGCAATATTGCATTCTAACCGACGAGCAAACCAGAATTTTTGCTCTGGATTTTTCTCTCTCCTGCCTGGAAAAAATGCTGTGATGAGTTTGGGACATGATGTTGAAAGAGACTACTCCAATGATGGCGAACCTGTTTGGCACCGAGTGCCGAAAAGAGTGCATGGAAACGTCGCTTGTGCGCTCGTCGGGGCCACGCTCCGGAAAAGCCAAACTTCCAGGTTCTAGCGCGCATGAGCACCCAACAATCAGCTGACTGGCATGCACGCACACCAGTTTTCAGCACTGCTGTGTGTGCGGACAGCTGATCGTCATGCAGGTGTGCGCACCAGAAACCCGGAAGACAAACAGCCAAGGCCGCCCGTGCCGGGCCACATGGCTTCATGTGCTACTTTGGGCACGCGTGTCATAGGTTCGCCATCACGGGCCCACTCCATAAACATGCCAAGATATCGGGCATCTCAACTTATCTAGCATCAGTCCCTTTCCAACTTTGCTCCTCAAGATCTTTTTCATAGTCTGTGGGGCTGAACCTAAAATCTTACACATAAACTTTTGAAAACCATCCTCACATGTCTGTGAGAATGTTTCCGAGTCCATCACTCCACCATATAGGCAAGTCTTACTGCATGGCTGACTTGCTTATAGCGAATCTAAGGTCTCCCTGGGGGAAGACACAGGAAATTTGCTCATGGAAGAATCTATCTGCCATCATGCAGCACTCAGAAACCAAGGGAGGCCCTGCCAAAAATACCCAAATGTATATATAAATAATATTTGCATATCCTAACTTATAGATACAGCTGTTTGTTCTCTATATATTCTACCCACTGTTTTAATGCTCACATTTATCACATGCTGTTTTATCTTACTATTTTATTGCAAAACGTGTTGAGATTATTTTAAAATGGGAAGCAGCAGCGAAATATTTTAAGAAATAATTTTCAACAGCATACAAGTAATATATTCTTAGTGAATGTAAGGCAACATATCTCATCAATTAACAAGTAATTATTCGGGGGAAGGAAAACCAGAAATAATGTTTATGCCCTCAAAGTACATCCTTTCTCAACACATGCCACCTCATTATTCATACTATTTTTTAACACACGGCAACCGTGTCTTTTATGTCTTCAAGGATGAGGGGGTTTGCCTCTCTTTCCCCTTGTGCCAACAGTGAATTTCCAAAGGAAATCGGGAACGACCGTCAAAAAAAAATCCTAATCAACTTTTCCCATTCAAAAATATTACGCCCCCAGAACTAAAACATCAGTCATTCAAGAAATACTAAAAAGGAACTTACAAGGACACGGTCCCCAAGTCTGAAGTCTTTATCCCCTTTTTTCACCGATCCGCTGTCTGAGAGGTTGGAACCAGATTCATTTCCAGTCTTCATGGTGTTGTTGAGAACACTCTCGCGCAGAGGAATGACGCGAGTGGAAAGAGGTGGGGTGGAAGTCCCGGAGTGCAAGGACAAGTTCTGAGCGGTCAGAGACTCCACAGAATGAGCATCGCTTCCTGAACCTTCCGTCGTGGGTTGGCGGGTCAACTTGGAAGGCCTCGTGAAGATCCCCTGGAGTGGCTGGCATTCAAAGTAACGCACTCCGCCGACAGAACCATCGTTCTTCCCAACTGGGTCATCTAGAACAACTCCTGCCCACTGGCCGGGGGCAAACTGGGTCTCTCCCAAATACTGGATTATGCCTGGCTTCACTCCATTCACCCAAACACGTTCACCCATCACGAAGTCCCCCAGGAAGTCATCGCCCACCTCAGCGATTTTTGACCCTGGCAGCTTCTCGGAGGCACCTGTGGAAGATGTGGAAGCCTGTTTGTGGAGAGGTGATCCTGTAAAGAAGAAGCAAAGAATGAGGAGAGATCTGCCAGGACAAACAAAGTCTTCACAAGAGACAAGACCCTGGACTTTGAACAGTTAAGTTCCAATACAAGCAGCAGAAGAGAAACAAGTCATTATTCTCAAGGATTAAAGGCTAAATGAAAAAAAAAAGATTTTTGCTTGTATGCACTAATCCATGCTGGATTTCATGACCAGAATTTCATGACCAGATGCTGGAAGAGTTGTTGGGGATCCAATGCAGAAGGAGCAAGAAGGTCCCTTTGCTGAAGTGGCAAACACATGATCATAAATTCAATTAGTTAAATTATTTTACTTCAATGGACCCACTGGAGAAGTTAAGCCCAGCTCGGAGCATCTGGTTGGCCACTTGAGAAAAAGAACACTAGACTAGATAAGTCTATGCTTTTATAAGTAGAGCTCCTCTGATGTTCTAACAGATCAAACTGGTTGTGCCTACTGGAAATTAGCTTAGCAACATCTGAGTAGACCCACCCAGTTCTACACTACATTGCAAAAAGTATTCGCTCACAACTGTGTCTGATTATGTGGATGGGTGAGCAAATACTTTTGGCAATATAGTGTATCATCTACTGGAGAAGCTCCTTTAGATGAACTGGAGGTTCAGAATAAGCCTCCTAGCACCCCGATACTGATCTGTCTGTGTTTGATTCCTGTGAAGGTTCACAGAACATACACAGATGGTTCTCTTTTTAGGAGAGTCTTCATTTCCCAAAGCTTTCTGAACATTTAACAAACTTGGGTCTTCCATTGCTAACTTCAACCATGGTTTTCTCCAGTTCTACAAAGGAGCTTCAAGAAGCCCGATATGTCCCTCCATTTAAATAAAAGCAAAGAGCCTGGAGAGCAACGTGTGTTACGCTCCAAATGGTACCAACTGGTCTTTAATGAACTTTCAGCTCATCAAGTATCAGAGAAGTGATTTAAAACCACAGCTGCCCTTTTAAAGTTTCAGTTTGCAGCTGGCAGCATGTGGTCGGAAAACACTTCGCCATCTGAAAAGATGAAGGGTTATGGCAGCTTGAATGGCGTTTGTTCACTTTTTTTCTCTTTCCCACTGGTTGCAGAATTTGATACTTAATCTAGTTACAGGCTTGTGCCAAGGCAGCCAGCTGTCAGGAGGAGCAGAAATGCAAGAAGGCTGCCCTGTTTCCATGGTTATCTGGAAAAAGGAGGAGGGGGAAACACACATGGAGAGAAGCACAACAAACATTAAGGGGTTTTCCCCCCCCTCAAACACATCGAGACTGGAAAGCCAAGGGATATGTGAGCCCTCTGAAGACGGAAATCTATTTCATTTATAAGGCACTCATTTTGCAAGTAACAGAGCCTTCCAGATGTCTCTGAATGCTCAGTGTTGTAATCCCACCACATCTGGGGACACCAAGCTGAGGAAAATCGATGAGAGGTTGGACATCTCCTGTATCACTGGTAACCATGAGCGTGATGATGATGAAGTCATTTCTCCAGAAAGCATAAAGTAACAACTGGCTGGCATGTTATATTTTTACTTTCAGAAATAATCCTATGAATTAGGCAAAGTTAGGAGAGAGAAAGAGGGAAGAGAAACTGGCCCAACATCTTGTAGAGAGACTAGGTTGATTGGGAATCTAGTTAGAAGCAGCAACTATAAGAGCCCTTTGTCGGGGTTCCAAGTTACACCCCCAATAAAAGGAGGCTCGAAGTTCCTCAAAGTTCCATTTTATTAGAGATATCCATATATGCACATCTGGGAAACCCAGAATCTGAAAGCTTCCAGGTTTTCCCCACCCAAATGAAAGTCCAAGTCCCTGCCCAGCACCCACATGTCCATCACATGGCCCAATCAGGCACCGTCCCAACTGGAGATGCCTCCCAGTCACGCCACTTCAGGTGCAGGGTAGAGTGACCTTGACTCTCTGAGAAAGGAATGTTATTTTGACTATATATCTTCCATACTGCATATAATCCTCCCTCCCATTTTCCCACAGTATTGAATGTGGCAGGCCTGAAGGCCCAATGCAAAAGATGGCTTCCAGGCCTGACACCCTTGTAAATATGCGGCGAGGGCCACTGTATTGGCAGCCAAAGTGGAGACATTGAAAAATAGGAAGGACCTATCTATCTCTTTGGGAAAATCTTGACATTTCTGGAAGATTCAAGAAAAAAGAAGAAATAAATGAAGGGAATAGAATTGCAACAGAAACCGAAGGTAAAGCAATCAGACGAGGAAGGGTGAAGTTTAGTATAAAGCAGAATGACAGATGGACAAGAAAGTGAAAATTCAATAAATCCTCTCTGTGTGTGTGTATGTGTGTGTGTGTCTGTCTGTCTGTCTGTCTGTCTGTCTGTGTGTGTGTGTATGTGTAGCATATTAAGTGCCCAGGCATAGGTAGAATAACTGGTTGATATTCTGACTAAGAGAAAGCCACAACATCTTGCTGCAGAGTGCATGAGATTTCATCTGTCATTGACTATTGTGATTAATATCTGGAAGTGCTCACAATCTGGTAGGCGTCTGATTTAGCTTTAAATTATTGGTATGAGTCTTAGAGGAAAACAGCCTAAATTCAGTGACTTGAATGCCTCATTCTACCCCGAGCATAGATGCATTTGTGGGAAGTATATAAAATGGATGCTATGATTTAGTATTAAACCAGTGGTAAAATTCATTTTTTTTACTACTGGTTTTGCGGGCGTGGCTTGGTGGGCGTGGCAAGGGAAGGATACTGCAAAATCCCCATTCCCACCCCACTCCAGGGGAAGGATACTGCAACATCCCCATTCCCACCCTACTCTGGGGCCAGCCAGACTGGGTATTTGCCAGTTCTCTGAACTACTCAAAATTTCTGCTACTGGATCTCCAGAACCTGCTGAATTTCACCCCTGTATTAAACAAGTTTACATGTTCAAAGAGGAGCATCGGGAATTGCAAAATGTCCATTAAAGGCCTACTTTACAATAGAACCAGTATCTCTTTTTTTCTGGTGAATTATTTTCTTTCAATTAAACACCCCAAAGAGGGGAGGGGGGAAATGCATGTGTGCAGGCATATCGTGCACATTTAGTAAGAAGCTAAGGAAAAGTCTGGCCATTATCAGCCCCTGCCTCATAGCAGGCAGCTTTGTGACAAGGATAACCAGAGGGTTTTTAAGCAGAAGTACATTAATGAGCTAGAGGAAAAACAGCAAATACAAAGGAGGGGTGGAGATAAAGGAGGGGATAAGTCCATCAACGGAAAGCTCACGCAGTAACCCTGAAGAATAAAATGCATGCTTTGAAATCTCCCTGCCCATCCATTAAATCCTCTCTGTGGGACCAGACTCCTAGCTTACAGCTGCATTGCTTATATGAGGAGGGCTTGGCTGTGGAGCAAAACTCTTCCACTGCAGGTACTAACGAGTTGTATTTTATTTTGTGGAGGGTGGGGGGAGGAAGGTCAATGTTGAGTGAGTGTTGTTTTTTCTAGCATGATAACAGCATGCTCTCCTGTTTACAGGATTACAAACTGCAGAATGCCCCACCACCACCAATATACTTATATACTTAGATATAGTAAGTGGGATGTGTGTGCGTGCATGGGTGCTATCAGGACAGAACAGCCACTGTCTATACTAGGGGTGTCCAATTTCAAGGAAACAAGAGCTAGATTATTGAACAAATCAATCTGGAGTTCTTACGTAAGGCACAAATGACCAAAGTCAAACTATTTTGGATATATTATGTGAAAACCAGTGGTGGGATTCCAAATCTTTTCCTATTGGTTCTATGAGCGCATGTGCACCTAATGTGTACTTTGTGCACATGCGCAGCACTCAAAGACCGCCCTCGGTGTCAGCGCTGGTGACCTGAGCTGTTTTTTAGCTCAGGTGAAGCGCGGCAATCAGCTCTGCTGCACGAAATCAGCTGACCTAAAAAAACAAGGGAGTAGAAGACAGGGAACAACAGGGGTGGGAGGGCGGGGTCAGCTAGAGGTGGTATTTGCCGGTTCTCCAAACTACACAAAATTTCCGCTACTGGTATGCCAGAACTGGTATGAACCAGCTGAATACCACCTCTGGCAAAAACCTAGCTCTCTTGAGAAGGGTGAAAAGAAAGAAAAAAGGATGTTGAGCAGCATGCTAGATGGACCTGAACGAAATAGAAATGGGAGATATGAAGCAACAGGCTAGGGAAAATCATCCTGAAAACATTTCTCTGTGAGGTTACTAAGACCACCAAGTTGATGGCATGTGATTACTAATTCAACAAGCCCTAAAGTGCCTTATGTTAGTCTGTGGTTTCTACAGTCAATTATTCCTGGAATTTTGATCCATATGACCAGGTGGATGCTGGAATGGTCTAAGTGTGAAAAACAGTTGTAAGCCGCTTTTTTCAGTGTTGTTGTAACTTTCAATGGTCACTAAATGAACTGTTGTAAGTTGAGAACTACCTGTACTTTTTGCTACCCATGGAGTCGAGAGTCTTTCTTTCCTAAGAGACCAAGCTGCGGCAGGACTGACAGCTAAACTTGATTCCACATTATTACACATTGTTTCTTAATTAAAATTAATTGTAGCAAATAATGAATATTTCCTATTCATACTTTAAAATTTCAAGAAATTAAAATCTCAGAAATTACAGGTTGGAAGCAAAGTCTGGACATCCCCATAACCCAAAACGTTTTGAGAGTCAAAGGCAGTTCCCAGAGTCTCCGAATGTACATGTTATGTAAATCCAACTCATTAATGCTTAGTCAACTAACCAAAGCTTAGTCAACTAACCTGGTTAAAGGCACTATGTTACAAATCATTACAGTACATGGCTCTGTCTTCTAAATCTGTGACGAATTTCCCTGTTGCTAAAATATTTGTTTTAAAATAATGAACATGGACAGATGCCACCAGACCAAAATCTACATGAATCCACAATTCAGGCAATGACACAGACTTATGCCAAAATAAATATTGCAGGACTCACCCAGAAGAGTCTAATTGAGGTCCTCCAGGTTACT